CTCTTCCCCTTCCTCTCTTCCCCACTCTCTCTAGTGATCAACAGGAAAAATATCCTTGGGTGAGGATTAACAAAAAAAGGGAAAAGCATCAGATTTCAGCACAAGGGAGTTAAATGCAAGTGAAGTGAACTAATAAACTTTAAAATGAGTCACCAAGAAAAATAATGGATTCTCTTCTCTGTGACTCTTAAAAGAATAAAAAATTTTTTCACAAAAACAGAAAATCACATTTTCCTATTATGTTTACTTTAGAACTACTATTTTAGAAATATAATGGGTGAGAAAAGAATATATGTGATCAACTTATAAATGCTTCTCAAAAAATAATGTATACAGCCCTAGCCAGTTTGGCTCCGTGGATAGAGCATCAGCCTGCGGACCAAAGGGTCCTGGGTTTGATTCTGGTCAAGGGCACGAACCTTAGTTGTATCCTTGTGGAAGGATTAACAACAACAAAAATGTATACAGTTAGGATGTAGTAGCACCTATTCTTTTCTTCTAGATAACTTTCAAAGGAAACAACTTTCTTATCTATGCCTTGTTTATGAAGTGGTTCATCTTATGTTCCTCTAAAATGTTCATGATGCTCTATATTTCCTTGCCTAACTGAATTTTTTTCAGTCCTAAGGTGTAACCACTAATGTTGGCAGGCCAATGAGAGAAAGCAAAAGTATTGCTCTTTCTCTTTAAAAACGTACCACAGCCCAGACAGTGCTGCTCAGTGGTTGAGCATTGACTGATGAACCAAGAGGTCACGGTTTGATTCCTGGTCAGGGCACATGCCTAGGTTGTGGCCTCGATCCCCAGTGGGGGATGTGCAGGAGATAGCTGATCAATGATTCTCTCCTCATTGATGCTTCTATCTCTCTTTTCCTCTTCCTTCTTCTCTGAAATCAATAAAAATTATATTTAAAAAAATAAATAAAAACTTACCACATATCTATTAGGATCTTTGATATCTAATGAGGGGAAATGTTCCTGTATGATGAAATCTAATAATGTCCTGGAAATTAAAAGGAGATAGCATCAGTGTTCCTCAGAATACAGTATTGAATATCCAATCACCTAAATTCACCCTTGCAATTCATTAATTCATTAGATTCCACACTTAAAATTTTATTTTAAATTTTTTTGTTAATCCTCACCTGAGGATATTTTTCCATTGATTTTTAAGGAGAATAGGAGAGAGAAAGACAGAGAGAAACATCGATTTGAGAGAAACACATTGATTGGTAGCCTCCTGCATGAGCCCTGATCAGGGCCCAGGCCAGGGAGGAGCCTGTAACCAAGGTACATGCCCTTCACTGGAATGGAACCTGGGAACCTTTGGTCTGCAGGCCGACACTTTACCCACTGAGCCAAACCAGCTAGGGCTCACACTTAAAATTTTTTAAAATTAAAATAAGACTGTACCCCCAAAACAGCAATAGAGAAATATTTCCTCAATATTAATCAAAACTGAAACTATGTTTCTAACATCATATTAGATCCCATCTTATTATGTTACAAATTCAGATTAATTCAATAAACATCCATGGAATATCTACAAGCCCTGTGCAAGTGATAGGAAGAAGAAGGATAAGACTCAGACCCAGCCCTCAAAAAGCATATAGTTGATTAGAGGATAACATATAAAAAATAATGACATTGCAGCACAATGCATGCAATAATGGAAATATATACGAAGTATAAAAACAACAGAACAGCCCCGCCAGAGTGGCTCAGTTGGTTGAGTACTGTCCCATGCACCAAAGGGCTACTGGTTCAATTCCCGGGCAGGCCACATACCTGGGTTTCAGGATTGATCCCCAGTCGGGGAGCACACTGAAGGCAGCCAACTGATGTTTCTTGCTCTCTCTCTCTCTCTCTCTCTCTCTTTCTCTCTGTCTCCCCCCCCCCTTTAAAATCAATAAAAACATATCCTCCAATGAGGATTAAATAAATAAATAAATAAAATAAGTATACTTTTTATTGAAAACCAAAAATTTTTAACTTGGTTCTCTCCCTCCAGGAAGCATGTCCATGCCATTCCCTTCCCCCTCTCCTTTCCTCAAAGGCACGTACCCCCTAACCTCTAAGGGACCCCATGAGACTTGCAATCAGGGGAGCAATGGGCAGCAGCAGCTCCATCTGGGCTAAACCCTGAACCTGTCTCCAAGGCCCCCTTTTCTCTGACTTCCCCGTGAGCTAAAGCACCCCAACCTAGGCTCTCCTGTTGCTTCTTCTGTGCCCTTCCTTCTTTCATTGTCCTAAGTATATTTTTGCTGCAGTCAATAAATTCTTGCTTGCTTTTCTCTCCGCCCCCCCGCTGCCCCCGGCCCACACACACAAGTTAACTTCCCAACACATAAATAAGCATTTTTCAATTGTCTTCTACCACTTAAAAAATGTCATTTTCTAACCTTAGTAAATCCAGTTCACCATAATGAGACAAAATTTCTAATGATCCGATTCTAAACCATGATTTTGCAACGCGAAGCACTACTGCACCTGCAAAAGAAACATTTATTTCAGCATAAACTATTTCAAACTATGCAAACATAATCTAAATCAGTGGTTCTCAACCTTCCTAATGCCGTGACCCTTTAATACGGTTCCTCATGTTGTGGTGACCCCCAATCATAAAATTATTTTCGTTGCTACTTCATAACTGTAATTTTGCTACTGTTATGAATCGTAATGTAAATATCTGATATGCTATATGTGTTTTCCAATGGTTGCGACCCACAGGTTGAGAACCGCTGATCTAAATGCTTTTCTTAAAAAATAAAATTAAGAATTTTATTTAAAATTTTATTTAAAATATATTATTTAAAATATATTTTTTAAATTTATTAATTTTTAGAGAGAGAAACATTGATTTGTTGTTCTACTTATTTATGCATCCACTGGTTGATTCTTGTATGTACCCTGACTGGAAAAGAATTCAGTATCTGTATTGGAAAAACAACTAACTTATACCCTCGAAAGGATCAAGGATTTTTTTCTCTATTTCTTTAAGCCTGAATCAGTTAGAATGTTAGGAGCCACAACACTTTCAGAAATACCGAGGCTCTGACCTAGCTAAAGACTGCTCAGTTAAATCATTAGGTTCCAAACATCTAAATCCCACTATCTCCTCATCTTGGTTGGGTTAATTTGCATATAGTCGCTCTGATTTGGCTGGTGGACGTGGCTTAAGGCGTAGCAAAGGTATAGTCAATTTGCATGTTTGTCTATTATTAGGTAAGATAATGCTGAAATATCTGGAAGAACCACGGGTCATTCTTTAAGAAGACTGAAAAGATGTCCAATATCTATTGTTTTTAAAGAACTTAGTCTTGAACCCCTATGTTCACTGCAGTGCAGTTTACAAGAGCCAAGATCTGGAAGCAGCCCAAGCACAATCAGTAGATGAGTGGATAAAAAAGCTGTGGTACATTTACATATGGAATACTACTCAGCTGTATAAAAGAATGAAATCTTACCCTTTGCGACACCATGGATGGACCTGGAGAGTATTATGTCAACTGAAATAAGCCAGTCAGAGAAAGACAAATATCATATGATTTCACTTATATGTGGAATCTAATGAACAAAATAAACTAACAAACAAAATAGAAACAGATAGAAAACAGACTGACAGCTGTCAGAGAGAACGGAGGTTGTGGGGCTAAAAAGGTGAAAGGATTAAGAAAAAAACAAAACTCACAGACGCAGAGAACAGGGGGTAAAGGGGTGGGGAAGGTAGAAAAGGGTAAAGAGAGGATAAATAGTGATGGAAGGAGACTTGACTTTGGGTAATGAACACACAATACAACATACAGATGACGTATTATAGAACTGTACACCTGAAACCTATACAATTTTATTAATCAATGTCACCCAAAAAAGTCAATAAAAAAGTTTTAAAAAAACTTAGTAGAATTTTATACAAGTAATCTAAAAACTGGTATTACCTCGTTCTTTCACAATGTTCCCATTGTAGAACTGATCTCTCCATACTTCATCATCACTTACAACTAGACTGGAACATAAGAGAATCAAACAATTAAAGTTACACTTTAACTGCAAGCAAGCTATCAAGAAGCACCTAAAGCCCTAGCTGGTTCTGCTCAATGGTTAGAGCAGCAGTCATAGACTGAAGGGCTATGGGTTCTATTGTGGACAAGGGCACATACCTCAGTTGCAAGCTCAATGGCTCAATCCCCGGCCCTGGTCAGGGCACATGCGGGAGGCAACTAGTCGATGTGTCTCTCTCACATCTATGTTTCTCTCTCTCTGTCTCTCCCCCTCCCTTCCACTCTCTCTAAAAATCAATGGATACTGGCACAAGAACAGGCAGATAAATCAATGGAACAGAAAAGAGAACCCAGAAATTTACGCAAACCACTATGCTCAATTAATATTTGACAAAGGAGGCAAGAGCACACAATTGAGTCAAGACAGTCTCTTCAATAAATGGTACTGGGAAAATTGGACAGGTACATGCAAAAAAAATGAAACTAGACCACCAACTTACACCATACACAAAAATAAACTCAAAATGGATAAAGGACTTAAATGTAAGTCATGAAACCATAAAAGCCCTAGAAGAAACCATAGGCACCAAAATCTCAGACATCTCTCATAGCAATATGTTTACTGATACATCTCCTAGGACAGTGGTCGGCAAACTTGCGGCTTGGCAAACTGCAGCTCGCGAGCCACATGCGGCTCTTTGGCCCCTTGAGTGTGG